GAATCCATCTGGGCCTGGGTTTTTTTTAGTCAGGAGGTTTTGTGTTATTGTTTCAATTTCCTTGTTTGTTATTGGCCTGTTTAAGCTGTTGATCTCCTCTTGGTTTAACTTTGGTGGTGGTCATGATTTTAGAAATTCATCTATTTCTTTTAGGTTTTCTCAAATTTAACAGAGTATAGATTTTTTAAGTATTCCCTTACATTTTGGATTTTTGTTTGTTTGTTTGTTATGATGTTTCCCCTTTCATCTCTGATTTTGTTGACTTGGATTTGCTCTTTCTTTCTTTTGGTTAATTGGGCTAAGGGTCTGTCTATCTTGTTTAGCTTTTCAATGAACCAGCTCTTGAATTCATTGATTCTTTGTGTTGTTTTCTTGTTTCTATTTCATTAATTTCTGCTCTGATTTTTGTTATTTCTTCTTGTCTGCTGGGTTTGGGTTTCATTTGTTGTTGCTTTTCAGGTGTCTTGAGTTGCAATGTTAAGTCACTTATTTGTGTTCTTTCTGATTTTTTTAATGAAGACACTTAGAACTATAAACTTCCCTCTAAGGACAGCTTTCAACATGTCCCAGAGGTTTTGTTGTTGTATTGTCCTTTTCATTTAGTTCCAGGAATACTGTTATTTATTTTTTAATTTATCCTTTGACCCATTCATCATTCAGGAGTGTGTTGTTTAATCTCTATTTGTTCATTTAGTTACTAGCGTTTCTTCCGGTGTTGATTTTAAGCTTTATTGCATTGTGGTCTGATAGAATGCATGGAATTATTTCAATCTTTTTGTATTCAGGCTTGTTTTATGCCCCAGTATATAGTCAATTTTGGAGAAAGTTCCATGGGGCACTGAATAGAAAGTATATTCTTTGGTGCTTGGGTAGATATTTGGTAGATATCTGTTTGGCCCATCTGATGTATGGTATTGTTTAATTCAGATGTTTCTCTGTTAATTCTCTGTCCTGTTGACCTATCTAATGGTGACAATGGGATATTGAAGTCCCCTACTATTAATGAGTTGGGATTAATCTGGGTCTTAAAGTCCTGTAGTACTGGCTTTTTTTGTTTGTTTGTTTGTTTGTTTTTGGTCTTTTGGAGACAGGGTCTCCCTGTAGCCCCTGCTGTCCTGGATCTCACTATGTAGACCATGTTGGCCTTGAACTCACAGAGATCCGCCTGCCTCTGCCTCCCGAGTGCTGGGATTAAAGGCATGAGCCACAGAGCCCAGTTGTAGTACTGTTTTTATGTAGTTGGGTACACCAGAGTTTGGTGAATATATGTTTATGACTGTAAAATCTTCTTGGTCAGTTGTTCGTTGGATCAGAATGAAGTGGCCTGCTTTATCTCTTCTGATAAATTTTAGTTTGAAGTCTATTTTGTCAGATATTAGAATTGCAACACCTGCTTTTTTCTTAGTGCCATTTGCTTGGTATATTTTTTTCCATCCTTTCACTTTGAGATAGTGTCTGTCCTTGAAAGTGAGATGAGTTTCTTGCAGACAACAAAATGATGAGTTTTGTTTCTTAATCCATTCATATAGTCTGTGTCTTTTGACTGGGGAGTTCAGTCCGTTAATGTTTAACTCGCTATGTAGACCAGGCTGGCCTTGAATGCACAAGAGATCCGCCTGCCTCTGCCTCCCGAGTGCTGGGATTAAAGGCGTGCGCCACCACACCTGGCGGGTTTTGTTTCTTAATCCATTCAACTAGTCTGTGCCTTTTGACTAGGGAGTTCAGACCATTGGTATTTAAAGTTATTAATGAAAAATATGTATTAATTCCTGTCGTTTTTATTTCTGTTCACATTCTTGATATAGCTGTACATTTCCATAGTTATACCTTCATTAAGTTTCTGTAACCCTTTGGGTATAGTCATTCCTTTCTTCAGCTCTTTGTATTGCTTCAAGAACTCTTTGAAGGGCTGGTTTTTGTGGACATGAATTCTTTCAGCCTATTTATGTCATGGAAGATTTTTCTTTTCCCCTTCGACTATAATAGACATTTTGCTGGGTAAAGTATTCTGGGCTGGCATCTATTGTCATGTAGAACTGGAAATACCTTGGTCCAGGCTCTTCTGGTTTTCATAGTTTGCATTGATAAGTC